ATCGTCACTTTTTATATTTTGAATCTATTTATGAAAATAATGTTTTATACATTCAATCTTCAATCTTTAGCTTTAATATTCATAATTTGTTCTCACTTCAAGATTGTTTAAATTTCGACTTGAGATGCTATAGTATTTGTGGTTGGTTTATGACGTCTTAAGAATTTCATAAACCTATTATAAAGTTGTATTAACATAAAAACAAACTTATTATGAATATCAATCTTTAAATTTGACAAAAGTGATACCATATACAAAATTTATTGTAAAATATCTTATCCGGATTATATTTCAAGATCAAAAATTTAATCGACGCTTGGTTTGCAAAATTGGATAAATGTATGTATAAATTCGCTCTAAAATATTATTATGTACTAATCTCCAGTTCGGAAAAAGTATCTCTTTTAATTGTGTTTTCACATATTAGTCTAGTGTTATTATTGTTTATTGCTTTCATTAATACATAAACAAAATATTGCAAAATTTTTTAGACTGATCTTGTTTCAGCATTAAAAAAATAATGACCATTATCGTTATTTTTTAAGTAATGGTAACGGTAATTATAAGTTATTTTTTTACTCGGTAACGACTATCGGGGTAATCAGTTATTTTCAAAAAGTAACTTTCCAATTTCTGATATTATATACAGGTGAAATCTGTCGTTTGATGCTATCAGGAGACGCAGTAACGTCTTCCGTCAAATATTTTTGATGAAGTTTAATATATTAAAAACATCCTTTTATATTATTATGAAAGGGACACTACTATGTCATGTAAGAGACGCTGCAGCGTATCATGTACAGAAAGGAGGCTTATTGTAATAAAACATTGTTTTGTTTAAATAAATTAATATGATTTAAAAAATGCATATATTGGAAGAATGCAAAAAGAAAGAATGCAGGTGGATTTTTGCAATTAAAATAAGATAACAACTATGTCCGTAAATGCACTCGATGCGTATAAATATGAATATTATGTCAAATATTATTGTCATTTACATAGCAAAAATAGCAATTAAAAAAAAAACAAATTTTCGGAAAAAAATAGAAATTTTTCCGGTTTTTTTTCAACAATTTGAAAAAAAAGTTTTTTTTAAATTATACATTTAGGCAATAAATTGTGAGTAGCATATATTCGTTATGATAAGCAAAGAATGAAGATTAGCTGTACAGACACTGAGCCGATCCGTTGCAGATTCATTACAATTTTGCAAAATATTTTTATACAAAAAGTTTTTCTACTTAAACATTTCTTCGTTTTATACTGTTACTTCTTTAATTTTTTGTGGTAACACTTGAATTGAACAAGGTAATGCAATTTTGTGATATAATAATGTTTTGAAGGAGAATTAAATAACTACTACTTTGGATGGAAGAGAAAATGTCTTTAAATAATTTGTGATATAATAATTTCTTTTAAAAAGAATTAAAACCATTTGGATTGGAATGGGAAGATTCTTCAATAGAAATACAAAGATACATATACTTAGGCTTCAGTGTATAAAAATTAAAGATAATATTACTTGAATTATATTCTTTACTTAATTTGATGTTTTATTTTAACTTGGTGCTAGTTGTTGATACCAAATCTCTTATATAAAGGAGAAGGTGGTATTATGGCTATATATATATATACATATTGTGACCTTCCTTGATGTCTCCGCTATTATATAACGAATCCTAATGATTATTTATGGAATTATTTGTTCAGTAGCTCGCTGTTACATGACACTAATATACCAATACTCAATAGCCAGCACTTATTATAACGCATTTTTACTTTAAAATGTTTCGAAACATTTCTGAGGTACATTTTAACATTTAATTACACCTACTCCTCATTTTTCTTAAACTTGAGCGTATTATCACATGAATATATATATTTTTGAGTGTGTTATTTGCTATTTAATATTTTATTTGACTGTATATATTTTGAGTTATGCAAATTTAAAGAATAGCATGGCATTTTACTAATATGGCCCTCTATGGACATTGATTACTTACGACCTTTTTTTTGAGGTTTTCATCAAAATAATTATTTGATAATCGATTGTAGCTCTACTGTTAATTTATAGTTTATCTTACGTGTACTATTTTTAGTATAATGGTTTTTAATGGAGTTATGAGCAATCAAAGTTAGAATGCTCCTTTTTACTTAATCCGCAAGTAACTCAGAAACAAAAAATCGTAGAACCATTATTAAATAACGATTTTGTAGGGAATTTTAATCTTTCACGATAGATAGTCAAAAAATTGTTCAATTCTTTTGGAAGCACGTGACAGATCTATAAAGTGAAAAGAAATTTTTTCGTTTTTTTCAGCTGGTAGTTTTCTATATGTAAAAATTATCAAACTCACATAAACTCAAAAAATATAGTAAGTTTTTGGAAGTAGAGTTTTCAAGCTTTATGTAAAATCCTTTTTTAAATTTAAATTTTGTTTATTTTTTAACGAAGTTACAACTGCTCTTAATAGCAATACAGAAAAACGGTCATTTCATTTGTACCAACCTAATAATTTAGTACAATAGTTTTCTTTTTAAGATGAATGTATTCTTAGCACCTTTTTCTACCTTCTTTAAAAAGGTAAGTTAGTAGTTACTAATCACTTATATCATGCATTTTTTTTTCTTTACATATACACATACCAACGAATCCCAACGGGGCCCATTTTCTAAAAAAAAATAATTTTTCAAGGTTATATAAAATGTCTCCTTGATTTTGGATTTTGTAAGATATTAATTTAATTTTTATATATGAAATAATAAAATAAATGTAATTCATATAAGTGCGACATGTACTCTGTACTTTTTGCATAATACAACTAGTGATGTTATAAGAAATATGTACAATTTTGCTGCGTCATTCCGCTATTAACTTTCGATCTTGACATATGACCTCATTCAGGCGTTACATCAGTATAAAAAATTCCGGCGTGATTATTACGTACGCAAAGTTTACATTATAAGACATAGCTTTATTTATATCGTTATCTCGTATTATGCGAAAATGTACATCAGAACAGATTGCGTGAAGAATTGAGCACATGAACGAGTGATTTTTCCTTTAAAAGATTTCTTTAAATTTAAAATAGTTTTTATTTTAAATTATTTGAATGAAATAAACGAAAATAAGAGTTTCGTGTCCAAATAAATCTTTTTCTCTATATACGTGATGATATAAAGGTGTTTGTAACTATTTCTCAAAAATGATACCTTAGAAAATAACTTTATCATCACGTGGTGACCTCTTACAATAATTCAGTATGAACTCCCCGTTAAATTTATTAATTTTTAATAATAATTTTCATTTTGAAATTTACTGAATTCTTTATAATCTTAATATTTTACTAAATTGTTAATGAAATCTTAATGAAATAATGCTAAAAGTGGATTATAATTGATATAGATTTTAATATACATGATTTTAAATGCAATTTAGTAATATTTCGTTATTATTAATTACAATTCCAGTAAAAAAATTATGTCACGATGACATAAGTCTCTCTCTGCCTTTCTCTGAGCACTTACGAAAATGAATGGTGTAACTGATTCTTATCAGTGCTTAAAAAACGTAAAAAATAATCTATAGCTCCTTCCAACGTGTTCGTTGAAGTGAGTACGAGCTATAATAGGAACGTGTTAGAGCTTGAGATGCAAATCTAATGAGTTTCCATAAAATATTACTTTCATTTCTGGTTTCTCCTACCTGTTCTCATTGATGATATAATGATCAGGCAAAGTTGAATTGAATCAGTCACTTGTACGGTCTTAACGAAAACACTATACTTAATGTGTCTATTAAACGCAAAAGAAGATTTATATTCAATACTTCTGTATTCAGTGTCATAAACTTTATCGAATGTTCATATATTATTCAAACTTAATTGTAATAAATTTTCATTTGCCTAACATTGAATGTGAGCCCTTCACTGAAAAACCGCGCAGCAGTAAGATAATTATAATTATAATATTTTTTTTCAAGGAAAAACTTTATAATCTGCCATCTGACATATTGAATCTATACAGTGTATTGTTGCCTGAATTCAATCATCTGGATTTAGTTTGGAGCAATTACGCGCTTGACTTCGTATACTATTTACGATCATGAAAAAGATTTGACATCAATCGGATAATATTGTCTCCTTTTCCTCGATAATAAAGATAAGAAATGAATGGGACATCAAATCCTTTTAATGAATCTACGAATATAGAAATTTTGCTTATAGTTTTTTGAAATAGTTTGAGTATAAGTGAATAAAAATATATGCATCTAAGTTCTCAATTTAGCGCATTCTACTCCATCTCCCCCCTGTCTAGGAAAAAGTCGGTGGAGTAGGCCTCATTTTGCGTGCAAAGTCCATCGCCCCTTAACAGAGGGAAAAGTGAAGCGTTCATGCATTTATTTTTCATTTTTGCGAACATTTTACTCCGATCTCATGGCTAATATAGATGATAATGTAAAAGACTAAAAATTCAATTTTACATCAACATTTTAATAAAAAATAAAACTGTCTTATTTGTTTTTGAAATAGAATTTTTTCCCACAAAAACCACAAGACTTCTCTTGTAAAACATGGTATACATTTTCATAACTAGTTTTGTTCATTACTGAAAATAAACACGGTTTTTGGAGGAGCACCACTTCTGAACATTTACCATTAATTTTTTCGAAAATTGATTTGTCCTTCTTTAGACCATACAACTTTTATTTGAAACGTTTTTTTCTCATATCTTGTTTTTCAAGATATTTGCCCGAGTCAATTAAAACAATGGAACACTCTGTATATGCACAGCATATAATCGTGTATCTTTTATAATTTTTTTATCACCGTGTAGCTAATAACATGATGTGATTAATAACATTTCCTTTTTTGTGTAAAAAATGAAAAATCATCAACGCACGATTCTCCATATTAAAATTTGGTATTATAAAAAAAAAATTAAAGAAGAGCTCAGCTAAAATTACGCTGTTCTTCTTTGTTTTCTATTTTTGGTACAATTCTTTGATATCCTAGCAGTCCTGTCCCGGCTATTTTTTCATCGACATTGAACCATTCGTCTAACTCTATAATGCGAGTGATCGTACATCTTTTATTCCTTTGTGGTTTTCTCGACTATACAGCAGTTGGAATACCTGATGTTCCGCAGAATGTATTTAAAAAAGTACAAACGGACAAAGAACAATTAAACAGCAGATACATTCCTCCTCAAGGCCATCTCATAGTAAGTATATGATAGATATAGAGTGCTTTTCAGCAAGAGACACAGATGACATAGTGTAATAAGGGTGCTATTGCATTTGTGCGTTTTCGTCGTACGATAAATGTGTACAGAGAGGTCTTCGGATCTCTCTATCCTACAGCCAATCAACAGGCATGAAAAATTCGTACGACAAAAAACACACAAATGAAATAGCGGCCTGAGGCTGATATTACATTTGTCGCATGGCAAAGCATTTCAAGCCTATTGACTGGCTACAAGAAAGAGAAGTTGTCGGATCTCTCTGTCCTATAGCCAATCAATAAACTTAAAATCTTTGTCGTACGATAAATGTAATACCAGCAACACAATGAATCATAGTACCTTTGTTGTTTGCCAAGGTTAAAAAAAGGTTATAATGTTAAGAAATGATCATTGTTACACTGTCTCTTGCTGGAAAATGCACCAATATTCTAGTAAAAATAAGAATTTTAGTAGATTTTATTAGAAATATTCTATCAACAAGAATTCCAGTTATCATTAGCATTCCAATAAATTTAATCAAAAAATTCTGATTTCATTTTCAACCAAAAATTTTTTTCAATATGTGTGATGTTTCATATTATGTAAAAATGCTCAAATCTCTCTGCTGTTAAGAAAAGATACATACTCGTATACACACACACACATATATATATATATATATCTCAGCTGTAAACTGTAGTCATTTTGACGTCGACAATTAATCATTTTGAATTATTGACGTCAAGTGATCTATTAAAAATGTCATACTGACGTTATCTTTTTTACCATTTAATGACGTCATTTATTCATGACGTATTTACAACGTCATACTTATTGACGTCAGATAAATGACTAATCGACGATGTATTGGTAACGTTATTAATGATCAATTAATAACGTCATTCATTATGCCGTTAATCATACAAAAATGATGACATACTTTCGACGTTGGTTAATATGACGTTATGTGACTGTGACAAATCCACGTCACTTTTACAATGATAGGACATCAGATTGGTTAAGAATGATCAATTAATTACGTAAAATAGACGATGCTCGTATTGTACAAATTTGGTTCAATTTTCGATTGATTAAAAATGTTCTTTCCACATATATCATTATTGATCTTTCTTCAAAGCTAATAGCAATAACATTTTTTCACGTGCTTTTATTTTTTTTCAGTTACAGATGATAAGAAAAGCAGGTTTTCCCGCGGAAATTCACGTAGTACAAACGGAGGATGGCTATCTTTTAACACTTTATCGTATTCCACGTAAAAATGATGCACGTAAAAATGGTTCACCCGTGCTACTGCAACATGCTCTTTTATCTAGCTGCGCCGATTTTCTCATCCTCGGCAAGGATAAAGGACTTGGTATGACATTCAATCCCTAAGAATATTTCTCTTCCTAAAAGACTAGGTTTCTCTATTTGGAAAAATTATCAAGTTCCAAAATATATATTTTTGAATGTAACTTTTAATAATGTATGTAATTTGTAGCGCATTTTAATTATTTTTTAATACTCGTATTGGTAAAAGCATATATAAGAAATTTGCTGTAAACAATGTTTTTTTTATACTTTAGCTTTCATATTGGCCAATTATGGATATGACGTTTGGTTGGGCAATTTTCGTGGAAATACTCATTCGCGAGCACATATTTTTTTATCTCCATTGAATTCAAAATTTTGGAATTTCAGGTATGTATATATGTTCATAAAATAAAAATAATTATGTGTTGAATGTAACATTGTCATAATAATATATTATTTAATTTATGGCAAAAAATCAATTAATAATTTCTACACTTTTGTGTAATAGTATATTTTGTTATACTCTCTGTAAGGAGATATATATATATATGTGTATATTGATTAAATTTTTCGTTAGCTTTCACGAAATGGGCATTTACGATATACCCGCGATGATTTTATATATTACAAAAATGACTTCGCAACCATTGCACGCATATATCGGTCATTCACTAGGCTCGACTGCTTCTTACGTAATGGCAGCGGAACGTCCAGAATTCGCTCGAATGGTGCGAATAATAATCAGCCTTGCACCTGCGGCTATTGTGAAACGTACAACAACTCCGTTACGGTTTATCGCCTCTTTGTTAGTAAATAATCAGGTAAAAAATCATATGAAAATACTCTCAAAAATAATTTATTATCAGGGAATAATTTAAAACGACATCTAATATATATAAGAAGCTGCTTTTATTATTTCTATCTTTCGACTTTAGACTACACACAAGATATTGAATTTTTTTTCGAGTATTATTCTTTTTAATCCACTTTTAGAGATTTTGAAGTTTATTTTCTTTTAGAAAAATATTGCAGTGTTTGTATTAATGCAGTATTTGTATTAAACGATTGAAATATTGAAAAGGATAATCGAACGGTTAGTAAAATTAAATTTTTAGCTTTTGAATTTTAAGCGAAATTATTTTAATAGAGTTAAAATTTTGAAGTTCCGAAAATATACATATACAAGCTGGTGCACGAAATACCATATCATTTAATTATCTCGTTAAAACTATACTCGAGGAGTATCGGGTTTTTTTTAACTGTGAGCAAATTCTGTACTTCATGGAAATTCTGTTAGGTATTGTGACATCACGAATTAGAATTTTGAGGTGAAGGCACACACACCAGTTTGAAATCAGGTGGACAACAGACGGTTTAATAAAAAAAAATATAATAATTGTAAATTAAGTATTGGACACCCGAGCATCTCATTTCCTTTTTTCAAGGGGAGAGAGGTGTTGCGAGCGACTTCGGAATCATATGCGCTAGCTACGTCAACAGCGTTGCGTTAAGAATGCATCAGCTAAGAGCGAGTGGGTGACTAACGGGTGTTTACACACAAAAATTAGCAAGATTGCTTCGACCCGAAAAAATAGCAAAATTGCCATTTCACAATTCTAAAATACTGGAACGTCGAAACCTAAAGATTTCGCCAAAGGTATATGTATAACCAGAAAGAAAGAAGGGGGTGCGAGTTTTCATTGTTTCATTAAAAGTCAGTCGGTTATCTAAGGATGTATCGGACATCTGAGGATTGCCAAATATCTGATTTCTGGTAATATATTTGGCCTTACATTAAACCTTACATTAAAATGATGTGTATAATGGTACGAATACCTGAAAACTTTTATCATTACACTGACATATTTTTTAGAAATATAGAACTGGATATCTAGCAATCCTTCCCGGATATCCGGTACTTCCTTACATGAAAGTATATTTTCCAAATAAAGTTTATATTCGTTTGCAAAACACTTCGTGTGATTTTTCCGGTTCCCATTTCCGGCGTTCCTTGTGTCGCTCGCGGCACAACATTACGAGAATTTCAATATTTTCTAAAAAATGTTAAAATAAAAAATATTATATAACCAAAACCTAAAGAAATACAATAATTTTACAAATCTGGCATTTATGTTGGTAATTTAATAATTTTGCGTAAAATAAAATTTTTGTAAGACTAATTTACGTTGACATACATCATTTAGTAACAAGGCGGAACTTGTTGCGTTGAAGATTGTGGGGAGATGTACATTACCTTCCTACGTAAACAGATTGTCACTAATTTGCTTAGTTTTTAAGATACTTAAAAAATCTAATCAAGACGTCATTCCAATGACAGCAATCTTACCCTGTATAAAACAAATGGTATGACATTTCGTGTGTGTGTGTGTGTGCCTTCTTCTATTTCTTAAATTAATATGTACACTTTCATTTCCGCTCAATTTCGACTCGTAATGTCACATCTAACAGAATTTCCACGAAGCATAGAATTCACTCATAAAATTAAAAAAAAAAATCAATACTTCACAAGCACAGTTTTAATGAGATAATTAAATAGTTATGACATTTCGTTTGCCACCTTGTAGTACTAACAAGGGAAATTTCACAACTGTCCGGAATCGATTTGATTCTCCATGAAATATGTTGTTAAACACGAAAATCTACGAGAAATATGTATTTTTTTATACGTGCCCTAACTCATGTTTAAGGGGTGCAACACCCCTTTGAAAAAAAAACTATTTTTCTTTCCGTTTTTTTTCAAAGGGGTATATCATCCCTTAAACATGAGTTAGGGCACGTATAAAAAAATACGTGTCTCTTAGATTTTCGTGTTTAACAACGTATTTCATGGAGAATCAAATCGGTTCCTGACAGTTGTGAAACTTCCCTTGTAAGAATTTGAATGTAATTTCAACTAAATATTCATTGAAATATTTCAATTAAGATTGGAGCAATTAAAGTTTCTTTGTATAAACCATGTTTCAAAGAGTTGCTTCAAATTTTTTATTCTCAAATATTTATTGTAAGCTGTAAGATCAGATTATAAGCAAATTACATCGCGGTCTAAATTCAAAATGCTCCTTTACAGGAGCTCTTGCAGCTGCTTGGTATAAACGAGATTCTGCCGCAGAGCTCTATATCTTTTGCTAAGCCTATCTGCGATATCGATCCAGAGTTATGCGCCAATGTGATATTTCTTTTCTGCGGTTACGATAGGGAGCAATTAAATATTGTGAGTATTCTGCAAGAATCGTAATGAAACCGATTTTCATCTTCGATCGGGTTTCCGTCATCATTTCATCCGCATGATCACAACTTGTCCGGTTTTTAGACTTTACTGCCTATATTTTTGAGTCACAGTCCAGCTGGTACTTCGTTGAAAATGCTAATACACTTGTACCAGATAGTTAATTCCGGAAAGTTTAGCCAATACGATTACGGTCGTGCGAAAAATCTACAGATCTACAACACATCCGAACCGCCGAATTACAATCTCGCCAACATCACCACACCGTTCGCGTTGTTCTACGCCGAAAACGACCCGATAGTCACCATCCTGGTAGGTACAGCAAATAAACGCATTTAAATCAATAAAAGACATATTAAAGATTAATATGCTTTAATCGTTTGTACACATAAGGCCTTATATTACTAAAGAAATGTAAAATTGCTCACAAAATTGTTTCTTTAAGGACGCGAAAGAATTCATCAGCTTGTTACCCAATATAGTGGACGAATATGCAGTGCCGTTTCCTAAATTCAATCATCTGGATTTCGTACTTGCCACAGATGCACCTCGGCTTGTATACAATAGATTACTTAAGGTTCTAAAAATAGGATCATAGGATGAATGTTATTTGATATTGATAATTAAAAAATTGCAGTTGTAAATTTTAATAAAAACATTTTAATATTTTAATTATAAAAGAAAATCGCCAATAATGACATAGGTCTCATAAAAAAATCTTATTTCTTCACCCCCTTATTTCTCAAAAACTAACTATCACATTTTATTAATGCTAATCAAAATAATACATCATAATTTATACATTTGTGGCTTGTTTCTATACAAAATCGGCTAGAAGTGAATCCTACAAATGCGAAAATAAAATTCTTATGATTTTTTTTGCAAATTGTGTAGTTTAAATAATAACTGTGATCATATTATTGATAATATTACATTGTTTTATGCAGAGTGATTCGAAATAAACATTTGTCCTTAAAATGTCATATTCCAGACTTAATTCTAAGACGATTTTCGTTTTTCGCGAAAATTTTGTACGAAGCATAGTTTTTAAATTATAGCAAGAAATAGTTAGCGAATAACGGGAAGCATACGATAGGCAGGGACGGTGCAACTCATTGCTCGACAGAAACAGTAAGTAGGTACAGCCGTGGACAGAATGGTTGTAACATTTTTTTCAGTGAGTTTCGGAAATCAGCTTGCTCACAGAGCGATTGGTTGAGAACATGAAGGACTTTTTTCTGTAACTGCAAAATGCCCCCTTATTGTCCTGTCTACCCGTATTTTTTCATTTATTCGTGCCTATTTGTGTATATGTATTTCCATCCATATATTCTTGGTTTACCTTCATAAAAATACAGTAACACCGCGAATATGATCCATTATAGCTGAAATACATCATAGGGATGTCCTTAAAGTATTATATATCCCAAGTAAAATAAAAGAGATGTCTTTAGGATATCTTTTTGATGTATAGACACATCTGCTGTATGGGATACGTTAGTGCCTAGCTATGTCCTATCGTGTTCTGGTAAATCAGCGGAATAACCTAATCGCGATCACACTAAATAAATAATCAATAATTTAAAAAACAAAAGAACTCGCAATTTGCGAGCAAATTTGCCCTCCCGAAGGTAATTACCCTCCCGAATATTTAGTTTACCTTTATTATATCTTTTAAACTTTATTTGATTGGTGTTACACACCAATCTACCTTGTATAGATCCTCTTCATCTTCTTTCTTCTGGCCAGATTGAACTCACCTTCTATTGTTTCTGGCCAATATTCTGACTTCATGTCAGAAATCAACAAGGAGAAATACTCCTTTTTACTGCCGGCTAATCATTGCCGGTAATAAGCGTAAGCTTTTACGCCTTGGTACGATGCGCGAAACACGAACGCGTCAAGAAAGGGCCATCACATTAATGAAATCAGTTAATCAAAACTAATAATTCTATTGACATACGAATAAATTATGCGTTTGTTCTTTACTCGCGTTTATTCGCAATTAGAAATATCTATTGTATCTAGTTATTAAAATATCTATCCAATTAAAAATGAATCTAAATTTGAAAAAAAAGTCTTTATGTTAATAGCGTTTTGAGATTTGACTCGAAGAGACTCCGTCGCGAATAATATAAAATTTAGTTTCTTAATATAAATTTTATAATATAAAAAAATTTTAATTTAAAAATAAATAAATAAAAATTATTCAATCGATACAATTCAAGGCCAATACGTGTATTTTCATCGATTCGAGCGATTCGTTGCTGAATTTTATCTCGAAAACATGCGGAGATAAGAAATTCAGAAGAATGACATAAGATTCGAAAGGGGTAATAAATTTCCCTCACGAGTATTAATAAAAATATCCTTTTTACATTATTTATAAATTATTAGAATTATTTTTTATATAAAATTATTTCATAATCTAGTATTTTAAGTGATACGAAACTGATCACAATTTTAAAACAATTCCTAGATAAAATTATTCTATTTTATGACAAAATGTATATGAATCTCACGTCATATTACTACTTTAACTGGTATAAAATCCAGTTATCAATTACTACGTATGAATAGGTTATATAAGTTTAGGCTAAAGTCAGTGCATTGAGATAAATAATAATAATTAAGAATCATAAAATATCTTCTATAAAAAAGCGAAATACATTGTACAAAATATTCTACTTGACAGTAAAATAATTGTTATTATTTCATTATAAAATGTATACACGTATAATTATGAGGCAATCGAAAAAAATTCTTAAAAATCAATATCTGTACACACATAGATAAATAATAATAATTAAGAATCATAAATATCTTCTATAAAAAAGCGAAATCCATTGTACGAAATATTCTACTCGACATTAAAATAGTTATGAGGCAATCGAAAAAAAATTCTTAAAAACCAATATCTGTACATATGTAATTGTTTTTTGCACTAACTTATATAAAATTTAATCCTGGATGAATATTTGGGAATAGATACATATGTAATTGTTTTTTGCACTAACTTAAATAAAATTTAATCCTGGATTAATATTTAGGAATAGGATGGATACACTGAGAGAAAATTGTGAATTTGATATTTGTGATTATAATTGCACGATAAAATAATTAATTATGATTAGGAGGTCCAATTTTATGTTTATCACTGCTATAATGTTAGTGATAATAACCATAAGTGTATAGTTCTGTTAAGCATGAAAAAATTATACGATAAATTATAATAATTTCGAATATTAATATAGGAAAACATAAAGATGTGGTAAATGAAATAAAAATTATGGTTCAGTAAATGCAACCGCAATTACCTACTATGAATACATTTTTTAAAATTAATTCACTCTTTATGTGGTAATAATAACAAAAAATATATTAAGAAAAACTAAAAATTTTCAAACAGTATGTACGCAACTATCATTAATAGCATAATTGACTATATTTGTATATTAAAATTACTATAAATATATAATTATCCTAAAACATGACTAAAATTATAATTAAATTATGGTAATTGTAACCATTTTTTTCTTTCAGTGTATTTGATAAAAAATTAATACTGTAAATCAATTTGAGTAAAAACAATAAATAAAAAAAGTTAATGTTTTAATTTTCAGTCTCTTATCTTCCGTTTTCTATATTTTTATACTAGTAAAAGATTATAATATATTTCTAACTAATAAATATGCAAATTTAATCAATTTTAATATATTCGATTCTAAAATTGACCAAACAACAAACATTATTATTACCAAACATTATTGAACAATCAGTATAATTGTTAATAAATAATATTCTATTATATCGGTATTCTCAATTTTTCGAAAGATTCGTCTATTGTATATAGTGTGTGTATTTGAAAATATCTTCATATGTGCACAATATATGTTCAATAATAAGAAGGCATCCAGGATTAAATTTATAGCCTAATCTGTTCTAACTTATCCATTTTAAGGTAACGGATGTATGGAATGCTATACATATAATTATCCGCATATTGTTATGAAATCTACGCATGCATGTATTTAGGTATGTACATAAAATACTAATAAAATAACCACACATCCGTTACCCCAATAAAAATGTTAATTCATCACTCACCGACCGATGTGCAACGGTGGAGTTATATCTGCAACGTGCGTCGCTACGATGATTCTGTAACAAATAAAAAATGAAATCCAAATTAAAATAGAATAAAGAAATAATCATTATTTAAAAAAATAATTACTAAGTATGTAAACGTATACAGAGTTTTCTGGAAAATAATCATGCAAATTTGGAAATATAATTTTTATAGTCATCGAATTTTATATCTATTATTTAATTAGATATAAAATAATTGTATAATCTCTAAGGAGAGCTTAACAAGAATAAATTTGTATAAAATTTTTAAATAATTTTTAAATAACTATCCTTTTTTCTTTATTATTTTATATCATTGTATATATAATTATTATTTTTATATCATTGTCAAACAAAACAATTTAAGAACAAGCAAAAAAAAGGTTAATTTTGCACAAGTAAAAATAATATTTACCACAAGGTTGCTCCACCGGTGCCCGATGTCTCGCCCAGACCTTCTCCTCCT